CAAAAGTTGGAAACAGCCTAGGGTCCCAGCAGTCAGGGGCTGGGTAAATCAGATAGATTAAATAACCCAAATGTTAGCACTGGTAATCCCAGAGTGGTAAGACAAGGAGTGTTTTTAACTTAAATTTTTCTTTGTACTTCTTCATATTTTTCACAATTTTATTTTCCACTATGACATATAAATTACTACTGTAGTAAGAAGAAAAAATTAAAATCTGTATAAGTCAATGGTGAACACAGGACAAATTGTGTTCTTGGCAAGAAACTTCTCAGATCTTCCATTTTCTTATGTGCAGAGGAGGGAGTGAGAGTAGATAAAGCTCACAGTCCCTTCTTATCCTAAAATTCTGAATACCAGAATTCGTTTACTTAGAAAAAAGGGTCAAATAATCCACTTGCACGACCTGCAAAGATGCTGTCCACGCCCCCCAACCCAATAACAAGCTTTCAAGCATCTCTTGAGTATTTTAGAGTAATATGAACATGGAAAAACTGTTGCATAATTTTATTAGACTATAGAACCATCAGAGTTGGAACAATGTTCACAACAATAGTAGTGTTTAGAAACATTCAAGTTAATAATGAAGGAAAAATAAAATCAGATTAGACTAATTATTTGAGTAGAATCTAAATTTAGTCCATTCTACCATAAGCCACATGTTATCATATACTATTAGCAAAAATCAAGGAGAATTCACAAGCTCTCATTTTTCTCTCTACTTGTTTACCTTGTATGAGTTTCTGGGAGCTGACCTACCCTATCAGAAGCATACACAGCATCAAATAATCCAAGGAGGGTGACAGAAATTCCCACAGCTGGACCATTTACCACGGCAATCAGAGGCTTAGGAAAATCTATAAAACAGCCTACAAAATCCCTACAGAAATGGAAATTAAAAAAACATTAGATGTTGCAAAGCACTGTTACTGAAGTATAGAAAAGGCAGCATGAGTCTGAGATGACAAACCCTTTTGGCTAGGCTGGATATTTCCCACAACGCCCACCAGCAGGGCCTCCCTGTCTTGCCACCTCCCTGGCTTCCACCC